AGAGCTGTGGTCTCAATTCTGATGAACTGAAGCCTTACTCAGAAATCTGACTGAACAGTGCTACAACATTTAAGTCAGCATGCCATTTCATACGTGTATTTCCTACGCAGCATTCCATTGAAAATGTATGCAAAATTTCTTCTGTTCTGACAGAGGATCTGTTTTCAAACTAGCTCATTAAAAGCTAACATTGACAGTGTTCAGAAAACAAAGATGGTAAGAAAGCTGCTTTTCCCAAAGCTATCATTTCAGAGCAGTGAAGTCTGCTGAGGGCTACTGGATTATCATCAGATGGGCAAAAGCAGGAAGCAAGTTACGCTACTGTTTATCAGACTACAAGATGTGTAAGTGTTGCTGAATATGAATAAAAAAGAATTAAAATATTCATTCTGACCTTACAGGGGACAAGACTCCCTCTCTCCAAAGTTACTGCATACCGAAGTAATAGCTGTTCTTCATTTACCCAAGATCAAATGTTTCTCAAGGCATGTTCAGTAACTTCTAACATAATCTTATTCCACACAAAAGGAAATTGGTTATTTGTATGTTATCCAAGGAAGGCTGAGTAATTCACTGTGGTAGGAAAGACCTCTAAAAATAAGTCACCTCTCAGCAGATTCACTCCCTTCCTGTCTGGGTTTGAATCAGTTTGCAACTGCATGAAAGGACAAAGCTTGAGGATAAACTACAGAGAACTTCTGTAATGATAACACTGCTCACATACACTTATTTCACTCCTACTCTGTTTAAAAGAATCCAACTATTAGGGGTGGAGCAAGCCAGTGACCCAACAGGATGTGCATGACCAGAACTCCTCGTGTGTAGCCTTCTGCTTTCATGTTTATTTTTGGATGTATTTTCCTTTGTGCTTTGAAACATCTTTTTTCGGCAAGGTAGCTAGCACCACACTAACTCATTAAAGAGGCAAAGCAAGTTCTTATCAATACAAAGAGTACCTCTTCCTACAGATTCATAGAGCCTCTTCAAAATCTACAGTGTTGTAACAGTGATGAATAACTTTTTTTATGTTTGTTAGTGCTCCTCAGAGATGAAGGCCAGGGACAACTGGTGCAAAAAGGCATGTCACCAGTGATTCCCATAACCTCCTAGAGCTTCTTCATCAGGGAACAGTGTTCAGCTGTGTGAGAACCTGACCAGAGATTTCATCATCTCCAATCTGCTATAGTAGCCCTTGATAGAAAACAAGTCTCCAAGGATGAGTAAACTTAGAAGTTCAACAGATGTTCCCGAACAGAATGCTACTTCAACAGATGCAGTCATTAGAGAAAAATCTTAGGCCATTTTAACTGGTAATTGTTATTATCAGGACAATATCATTTGTTTTGACCAGCATTCCCTGACTGTTAAAACTGGAGATCATAGAAAATCTTTCTGTATTTAAAGGGTTGATTGAATATGTGGTTCTGTATATTACAGAAGGAATCTTATTATATTTTTGATAAAGTATATCCTATCTTTTCCTCAAAGAGTATTTAAATTTCTAAAACTGACAGAAGAATAGTGACAAAAAAGAAAAAAGTCTGTTTAGAAGTAGCAATCTCTTTCTTTCAGATATAGACCCAATTGTAATCATACCCAAAGAAATTAATACACTTTGCTGTATGTTGGGCATTAAATATGTTAATAAGCCACATCTGGTCTGTGAAACATTCTATCAATACAATTGTTCCTTAGAGCAATACAGCTAATACAGGAAAAGTAACTTTTCAATTTAAACAAAACTCAGAAAAATCTGTAAATTCATAATATGAAGTTATAGAGATTCTGAAAATTCTTTCTAAACTTAGACATAGCTAAAATAGATAGGTATTATATCTTTCTCTTCAAATCTAGTTTCAGGTTTTATACTAAAAGTTTCATAAGCAGTATAAATGGATATGTATTTGTCTTTCAAAGAACTGCATAGATTTGTGGTAGAAAAACACTTGTTGCAAACATGAACTTCATCAGTAGGTTTCCGTGTTAACAAATTTTTACTATAAAGGAAGATAGTTCATAGCTCTTAGTCCTATCATTTCAGATTAGTTGCACAATAAATTAAAGTCAACACTGAATCAATTTATACTGGTTCATTTTCCAAGATTATATTCACAACCTAAAAATAAAAAAGAATACAAAAAATTGCAAACCTAAAAATAAAAAAGAATACAAAAAATTGCAGTCTTGGAATTTCCATGCTCTGTATGCCAAAAATCTTTAATCACCTAACAGAGACTTTTCATTTGTTCTTTCCCTCAAAAGAAGGAAAACGTAAATTTCCTCAAAAGTAAATTTCGGGGGGGGGGAAGAAACAAACAAAAAAATCATATATAAAATGTATTTTTTGCACATCTATTACTAATCATAAAAATCCTACATTCATAAAAGCAGTAACCATTTTAACAATTTCAACCATACAGTTTATTTAGGTTGTTGTTAAAGTACAGTATTATATTATTTTGGAATTCAGTATTTTTTAAGGAGAAACAACTGCTTTCTGGAATTAAATTCTCAGTATCTGGAGAGTTGAAATTTGTATGCACTAGATTTTAGTTTTTACCATATCTGGATTGTAATGATACTGACATTGTTGCCTTCTCCCATTTTTCCCATGGTACCACAGATAGTAAGTATCTGTGATCTATTCTTGACTTTGTGTGGGTTTTCATTAAAAAATTATCTGAATGGCACCTCACTGTATCAATAACCATTTCGCCATATGGGCTTTGTCACAGCAAAGACAGATGAATCTTAGGATAAAGTAGACAGAACAACACAGCATCCAAAACATAACAAAAAGTTTCCCTGAAGAAAAGTATTTACTTTTCTTCAGATAACAATAATAATATACTACTGCTGCTATTGCTAGTATATTTTGGGGGAATTTTCTTAAATAATTTTCTGTCTGTTTTGAACATTCTCTGTTTATCATACTTTAGCTGCCGTTTATGTAGGCTTTGGGATTAGCAGATTGCAAGGAAACAAATATTGCCTTGAAAAAAATGAACAACTTAATTCTACCTCAGACTAAACAGCACAGCTATATTTCACGGCATAATTTTCCACTCACTAAGAGCACAGGGATAGCCTCCTTGAAAGAAAGCACACCAAAATACATGGAAAGTTCACTGTAAAACTGCACAAAAGGCAAAGAAGCACCACAAAGCTAAACTGTGGTCTGTGACTGACACCTGCAGCATCTGTGACGTGCTCTACTGCACAACTTCATAAAATCTGCAGTATACAAAACGTGTGCTAAGGCTCCCTCTGATAGATCCCAATACTTTCAACACACATGACCTTTTCCAAAAGCATCTATCATCAAACAACTCATCAAAATCAGCAAAATTGTTAGAAACAACATTGTATTAGTGATTAAAGAGCAAATGATATTGGTATTTTTGTTTTAAAACAACTTTAAATATGTTTTAAGGTTCAAAATTTTTAGGAAGGGAACTTAACCTCCACTCCTCCAATATTTCTGATAGGGAACCAACAATCTCTGAATGCTTAGCAGGAAATTCATATAAATAGCAGAAATTACTCTGCTTATACCAATTAAAAGTGAATTAAAAAAAAAATGTTACTTGAGAAACCTACAATTGGATTTATTCTCCTCCATCATGAGCTTGTAAAGCACTATTTACAGTAAAATTTTCTGACCACTGGCAAGCGTAGCGTATGTTAAAACAGATGAGACCACTGGCATATTTAATCTTTTAATGCCAGGGTCTAAAATTATAATGCAGCTCCTGTAGAGAAAAAATCATGAACTGCAGAAATATATTGCACTGTGAATTTCTTCAAATTTGCTATGAGACTTTAAGATCATTTTATTTTAGCTGTAGACATTGTCAAAAAACAGTACAAATTATGGCTATGCAATTCAAAGACTGAAATCTGGTGTTGTCAGAGCATTCACTGGCAAGCATATTTCATTCACATATTGGTCTTTCATGCCTTGGTCATGCTGCACCATTAACTATGCTGAAGGCAACATATTTGCAGACAGGTGGTATTAGTGCTGTTTCCTCAGTCAGTGTAGCTAGTTGTGGATTTGATTTTCTTTCCAATATCCTTACTTTAGTACTGCTTTTAGGACAATTATTTGAAGCATAATACTGCTCTTTCTCAGGAAAAGAGCAAGACAAAAAACCCCCATCTGTCTGCACTTAGGAGAGAAGCTGAACTAAAATGCTACAACCAGCATCTATTTCTTAAATATAGTTACTGTCTCTGGACGTGCAACTTTAGGACACTGTCACACGATCTGACAGCTCTACACAACACTTGAATTTGTACAGTCACCATTTAAAACAAGCTGGCAGTACAAATTGGCAATAGTGTAGGCCCAGCCAACAGGATGCCTTCCAATTCCCAGAACACTTTTTGAAAAGTATAATGCTTACAAAAATGCAATCTGATTGAAGCTCAGTAACTTATCACAGTAACATGTTAATGAAGTCTTCTCAGCATTCATACTAAAGTACATACAGATTATAGAATGAAGAACCTCAGCAGTACATTCTCCACAAAGGAAAGTTTTAAGGGAATTCACATGAAATCAGTAACTTAATTTTTAAGTGATCTTGATCCATCTGCAAATTCTAAACCACTTATAGCTGGTGATGAGACAGGAGTAAAGAAGAGTAATTTAAAATATCAGAGTATATTAAGGATAGACTCTCCTCATAAATGCTGGCAATAAAAGCAAGTTTAAGGCTAAGAAAGCAACACCTGCAGTGTACAAATAAGTTCCACCAGAAATTTCACCTAAATTATTTCGCTAGAAGAAGCGTGCAAGAAAGAAATACAGGAGTATGCAATCATGCAGAATAAGAAGCAATAAAAAGAAGGAAAAAAGACTTTTCTTTTTGTCCAAACTGATTTAAAAGAATTATTACTTTGCTTATGGTATAAATATACTTATATCTCATTACAAACACTTAAAAGGTTAAATCACTTTTTTCTGCATAAACTACAAATAAATCTGAATTTACCTCCCAAAGTGCTTTAAAGTCCTTCTGCTCAATTCGAAGGAGCTCACTATATTCTCTGGTAACGATGGTAGCATGGCGAGGAGTGTTATCCAGAATGGACTCTCCAAAAGCAGTTCCTATTCCCAGAGTGCATATTGTCACAGCATCCTTTGAATTAAAAATAAAAGGACACAGATATTCCAGGATGTTTTAAGAGTCTGTATGTCACATTTGCTAATAGCACTGCCTTAAGATTCTTCAGCAATTTGCTTTAAAAGAAAATTAATTAAAAGTGCCAACAAGAAAATCAATATGCTGATGAACAACACAGGAAACCTCAATGTGGAAGCAAGTAGCACCGCTGTTTTCTATGACCATCAGTTGAATTAGACATTCCTGTCTGCAAAGCAGAGAACACAAAAGTCACCTTCACCTTTGGAAGAAAGTTATGACTCTGTTCATCTCCTTCTAAATGCTGTTGCGATGATGAGATCCTTTAGAAATGTCAGAGGTGATCAGAAGACAACTAGCATCAGAAATGCAATCCTGGAATATAAATTCCTGCCCTGTATAAGCTACTCTCATCAGAAAGAAAATTTGACTGTTATGTTTTCTCACTAAACATAACTTTCAATTATAATATCCTCTTGTATTTATAATGCATTTATCTATTGTACAAGGACTGCGTGCAATGCAGTCATACAGTTTAATCAACTCTTGGCCTTTCTGTTGAAAATGCCAGCAAATCTCTCAATTGTTAATAGATGCCTGCTGATTAAGTACCAGACTAAAAAAAGAAAAAAAAATCCTTTTCACATAAGTCAGGGATTTCAAGAAAACTATTAAAAATCCGAAACAACCTGGAATAGAGTATTCAGGGTGTTCCCAAACATGCAGTAAAGTCCACTTCAAAAGAGTCTATGTGAGCATGTGCCATTCATGAGATGGCAAGATGTCTAAAACAATCCCCCTTGGCCAGGAACTCCTCTGTAATAGTTCCAATATAAATTATGAGCTACTGTAGACAAAAAATTAGAGTACTCAAAAATAAATAGCTTGCTGAATCAAGATCTTTAGATACATGTTCTATTTTAGGCTTACAAGTTGCTATGTTCCTGAGCACAGGCTTGAAGCTGAACACTTACATATGTCTCTTTCTAAGTTGGACCTTAAGTGACTGTTGAGTAATTAAAAAAAATAGCAACAGCGTTAAAAATTTAAACTGATACAAACTGCACTTTACTAAGGAAATCACACATGCACACAGACAAATACACATAAACATATATAAACACATGTTAATTTTATTTGATACAACATTAGAAATATAGTTTAATTCTAAAATGTAGGACTCATGAAATGTCTACAAAAATAAAAGCAGAAAATTTTGTCATCCCATCCACTACATCTTTATGTCTGATAATCCAGGAGAGATGCATGAGCATATTTCAGCATCATTTTCTGTGTTTAAAATTGCATTGTTTTCCTTTCATGCATCTAATAAGTGGTAATAGGCAAATGTTATTAAGATCAAGTTAGTAGCTTTATAATTGCATTACAAAGACAAATACCCATAATAGTCCAGTTCCCTGAACCATAGCAAATTGCTTTTGCACAGATATTACAATATAAAATTATGTGTTCAGGAAAACAAAATCAATTACATCTTAGAAAAGATCTAGGAAGAATTTACCAACTGTCAGAAATAAATTTTCAAGGCAGGCAGATATGAACAGACACTGTTTAAAAGAAAGAATATTTGGGAATGAGCACCTAGGCACCTAAATCGATGTCTCTACAAACAGCCTATAATACATGCTACTAAAGTTCTGCCTTAACAAGCTTACCTTTCAGAGCTGAAATGTTATATGCATGCATACTCACAATTGCACTCAAAAGAGCTACAAAGAAAATGTGCCTACTGCTCACACAAAATTTGATCTCCAGGTCTCCAATACATTATTCTCAATTTTATTTAGAAAGTTCAGATAGATCTCTGTTTAGAGCAGAGTAACCAAATTGCCTAGCAGAAGAAGAAACTTTTCCATTAGGTGGATCATAAGCAATATTTAAATCTTGCAACTTCTTTCTCACTTCCTTCCCTCCCTCCAAAAAAATAAACTCCTTTGAAATGCCTCACCTTTTTTGATTCTTTACAACCCTAAAGAATATATCTTTAAAGACAGAATAGAGAAGAAGAGAGAAGGAAAGGTGTTGGTTGAGGAACCACTTTCTAAGATAACTTCTGACGAGGCAGCTGTTCAACCTGAGAAATAAATTAACATTGTGGGGTGTTAAGTCAAGGAGCTGGAATGGTCCTATCTACGTTCATTAAAGAAAAGTCCAGGCTTCTATCAAGTGAAAGTTCTTTCAGTTTTTTTCCCCAGCCATCATCACTCTCCACTGAGATGCAGTTTTGCAGTCAGCTAGGAAGCAAGCCCATCTGTCCTCTTCAAGACTTCAGAGCCCCATTTTCTCTCTGCCCTTTGTTTATACATCTCCAGCCTCCGGGGGAATCAGGTGTGCATTTCCTATTACACCTGTTAACCTTACACTCAAGAGTCTCCTGCTGTTCAGTGTAGACTTCAGGAGGATTGCTGGCAGCTCAAAACTCAGTTTGCTGTTCCCCTCTGCAATCCCAGAAGCAGCAGGGGGTTCTAGCTGCTGATAACCAGCTAAAATTCACACAGCTATTTAAAAGGCAGTATTAAAGACTTAAAAAGATGAGATTGTTTCCATTGCTATCTGTCCTGTGAGCACACTATAAAATGGTAGCATTCATATCAGAGGCTGTTTGTGTATTCAGCTTCACTGACTCTCACTGGCAGGTGAGACACATGCAGTGAAAGAGTTGTTAAACCTCCCCCCCCATCAATCTAAAACATTATTGAATTTGTAAGACCATTCTATGGAATGGATAAGAATTAGAAACAGGGCTCTGCCTTACTCCCTCCCCCACCATCACAAGACACATCCCTGCATGCTCCTCCCTGACTTGCGACGCTCCCTATGTTCCAACCTGGCAAACAGAATTTTTGTACTGTGTGTAAACAAAATCATGGTGTCTGAAAGAGAAATGAAGAAAATAGGGAAAAAAAATTATGAGTGCTAGGTTGAAAGGGATTAGGCACTTTCCTTTGAAATTTTAGGTTATTAAATGCTTTTAGTTTATAAGAGTTGTCATAGCTAGTTTGTTTTTAATTTCATCATTTTCCCACACCTTGTACCTTTAACTCACCTCTGCACCTGTGTCCCTCCAGGACTCCATACCATCTACATGTTTAATTGGAGTTCTGCAAAAGCTGGCATTTTGAAAAGTTTGCTTATTATTACTTTGACACAGTTCAGTTTGTCCTCAGCAAAAATTTCCTTTTATTACAGAGAAAACAAAGGATGCCTGTTCTATGAAGTGATTTTCCTGGTACATTACCTCCACTGGAGTATGTTTCAGCCATTCAGACAGGAAATCCTTATCAAACTACTTTTAAAGATAACATAGAAATATCCTCCCACACTAGAATTGCAGTTTGCCATCATATGTCAGGCCATCCTCTTTACACAAGACAGGGTGATTTGCTTAAAGGAGGCATGATGCTTCTAGAAAGACTGTGACCAACTTCTCTTCCAGTTCCTAATTAAAATATTTACAGATCAGATTAATTGTACTGTAATAACATTCATTATTTCCATATCTTTCTATCCGATCCTCTAAAAGCTACCTGCAATGCCTTGGGCTTTTTGCTAGGTTACCTGGCAGACAGAACTGAAATGATTTTTCTATATTAACTTTCAATAAACTAGGTTTAAAACCAAAATTAGTACAACCATGACATGTGGAGCTTAGCATGGGCCAACACACCCTGCTTCTCAGCTGATTTCATTAGTCCAGCCAATCTCTGCGTTTCAATGGGTAGAGCAGTTCTCATGCTCAAACTAAGTAATTTAAAGCTAGCTTGGGCGTATTTACACTACACTAGAGACTACAGTACAAACCTATGTCACGACTACACATAGGTTATCTCCAAAATACATAATGGCATTTACATGCAGAAAGCAGTATTGCAAGGCTTGTCCTCTTAAAATCCCTTTCCTTCAAACAGACAGGAAATTATTCCCTTTCTTACATGGACATCTGAACATCTTTCTTCACAGTCATTCTTCTCAGCAACCCCACTAACTTATTTGGCTTTTGCCCCCCAGCCCTCTGCATCTTCCTACAAGTGACACTGTGGCACCACCCAAGCACCCACAGCTGCTCCTTTGAAGCTTTTCTTAAAAAGGTGAATTGTTTGTAAAGTCAATGCCCTGTGTTCCATTTGGTCTGTTTTTAAAATCTGATCAGCTTAAAAAAACCCCACCAAAACACAGGCAAGATAAACTAGCAATAGCCCCCAGTGCACACTATGATTCAGCTGGCAGACTACAGCAGGACTGCAGATCAAATTGCTATTTGGTCTTTGTCTTTCTTCTCTTCATTCCTTCCTGTTTTATCAGATAGTAATATAAATATTAATCATTTGGGGTAAAAGGCTCTGAATCTAATTCAGTAAAACACAATGCTGCAGAATCTGGCAAAGATGTCACACTGATGCTTTTGTCATAATGCATTTATTCCCAGCTTTATTCTGAGACATTACCAACAGTCATCCTTCAGAATCTGTTCATTTTTGAAACTGAGTTAAAAAATTAAACATACACAAAGCAGTCAGCAGTATTTTTAAGACAACACCAAACTAGGAATATCGATAAGAGGAACTTTTATTACTCTATACCGCGGCTGTAACATTGGGTAGGTAACAGTGTCAAATAAAAATTAAATTCAGAATCTGTTCATAACTGAGGGTAAAGACCTCTTTCTGATAGATTCTAACCAGGCTGCATTTTCTGTTTATTTTGAAGGGGACTTAGTCTTTGTGTGACTTTTAAGTACAATGTTTATCAGGGTATTTGTTACAAACAAGTTGAGGCAAGACCAAAACAGTTCACTACACTTACCTCTGTAATTCATAGTGTGACATTTTACCTTAAAAAAAAAGACTCCTCTTCAGTCTCTTCTTGATTGTTGAATAGCCAGAAAATTCATAAATAATTTGTACAGAAAGCAGACCAGCCACCACTCAGGATGTACTGGATGGGTAATCCTTCAGAACTCTGTATTGTAAATTGTATTGTCCCATTTCAATGGCAAATTAAATTACCATCATGATCAGCAGCAGCTAGCATATTTTACCATCTCAGTGGAACAGAACTAAACAGAGAAATCTGCTCTGGTCAAACTCTTTAAAACAGGTATATTGTAAATAGTCAAATATGATTTTCAAACGAGCTATTTTAGTATTAAATATTGCCTGTACTCAGTTTGTTATGTATTCTAACACTGCCCTCTTGTGACATAATACAGTTTTGCAAGCAGTCAGAAAGGATTTTTTCCAAACCAAGATGGAAGTGAGGCTATCTACGAGATCCTAAATATGTGTGTTTGTCTTTATCAAAACATTTAAATAGAGTACATGGAATGCTTCCTCTTATCATAATAGCAAATAATATCTAATGTTAATATTTCTGTTTATATGAATTCTCAAGTTGGTCCTAATCAGTATTACTAACATTTTCTGTGAGAAGTCACAGGTGTCTGCATGAGTAAGCTAACATGCAGCAAGAATGTGTTGAATTAATACTTCACTAGCTACACTGAAGTCTTGATCCATTAGTGCATTTAGATATAATTTCTAGTGCAAGACATGTAACTACATGCTTCTGTAGGAGCAAAGGCCATTAAGAAAGACATTCTTAGTAAGCACCAAGTGCACAATAACTTACTGCGCTTTTAATGGGAGAAAGCTACCAAACACCAAAGGTGACTGCATAAAGAGTTAGCACGTGGTACCTGCTACATAACGCATTTATTCCCAGGTTGCTGAAATTTAACTTCCCCGGGTAGACAGATAAACACCTAGTAAAAGTGGGACTAATATTTTTAATCAAGAAAATTGATTTTCCATATTTACATTAACACTGTAGGCATAATCATAGGATAATTCAAGCTGCCAGAAAACTCAGAAGGTCATCTTAAACAATTATTAGCTGTGCCTAAAGACTTTTTAACCAATAGGAGCCTAAATACAAAGTTAGCTTCTGTCTTCCTAGAAAAGATGGCATAGTCCTTCTGTAATTTTACATGAGAATACAAACTTCTAAACTTGTAAAGTCAGGTAAATTTCTATATCTCTTCTGCTCTGCTGGAAGTTTCTCATTAGCATTATTGCCATTTATGGTATAATAGTAATTAATCATTACTATGACTTTGCAAAGGAAGCTTTGACGCCTGGGTGCTGTTATTGGAAAATGTGCTCCAGGGTAGGTTACAAGCATCCCTACATCTTAAGCACTGGTCATCCATTCCTAGGTGGGAGCACCATGCTGGGAACTGAGTCTGTCAGGGGTGCCCAGCTATGGAGCTACAGTGTATTTCCTCCTTCATCTGGGTTTGTAGTGAGCACAGTAGGCAGGGAGCGCTAGCAAGTTCAAGCTCAAGAATGACTAGCACCATGCCAACAAGGAAGTTCAGGCAAGCCTGGAACAGGGCACCCAGGAGCTAAAGGCAGGACAAGGAGCAGGAGACCAAGGATGGACAAGGAGGGACTTGGTATAAACACCAAGCTGGAGCAAAACCAGAGAAAATATTGGACTCAAATACTATTTAGGAGTCCCCAATCACCAAACTTATCCAGGACTGGAAAGGTAAATGCATGAGCTGCTGTCCTTTTGGCAGTGAAGCTGTATCCTAGGGCAACTAGGCAGTGGTAAGAATTCAGTTCATTGTTCCTGTGAGAAGGAGGTGCAAGGTTAAGAAATTACTGCAGAATATAATTTCTAGAACTAGAGCTACATGAATTGTAGTTCTGCAGTTTCCTATTGGCAGGAAAATGCAGTGAACCTGAATAAGCAGAAAAAAATAGTTACATTAGATTTCTTAAAAGGCTGCATTGTTCCACCCCCCACCTAATGGAACAAATCAACACTCCAGACAGATTATTAGTTTAACTTCCACATCCAGAACACTTTTGTGGGAGTATTTCTTTCTGATTCAGTAAAAGAGCATTGGTCCTTAACAACAGTGTAGTGCCATCTTTCGACAAACAACGGAAAATATTCCTGATTGCTTTAGACTTGCACAGAAAAGGGTCTCATAAGAGCCCAGTACTGTTCCAAATTGTGACAATACCAATGACAGCCAGGCCATGCTGAGAATTGCTCAAATTAGGCTAATTATACTCTCAATCAGTCTCTACTTGGTATAGTGAAGAGGTTGCTAAAAATAATGATATAACTTCCTTTTGTGTCTATCATTTTACTGTAAGAAGTAGAAAGACCCAGTGTTCACACACTGCCCTGACTTGCATTCTGACCCAATTTCACTGGCGATGCAGTGCTCAACAAAGTGAAAAATCCAATTTCTGCCAACAAGAAACCTTCCCCAATCAGCCAAACTCTGGGCAAAGAATACACCACCACTATATCCCCATGCATGCTATATTCAATCAAGGTGGGAAAAAGGGGTAGTGTTATACTTCAGGTCCTGGGTAGCTATACCACTCATGTGAAGGCACAGTGAGTCGCATGTCAGAGGTACAACCCCATGCTGAGCTACATGACGGGACAATCCCAGATCTCAAACATGGGAGCAGGGAATGGGACATGATGCCTTCCCAGAAGACTCAGCTCACAGGAAGAAGTGCATGACTTGTCAGCATGAGATTAGACAACATGGGTGGGAGACTCTCTCCAGGAGAAATATCTCACCCTTTTTTTGTATTTACTCTAAATTCCCAATTTTGTAAATCCAGAATTGCCAAGACACTGAGAAATCACTTGCAATTTGGAGGGAATTTTACTTGTTCTTCTATTTCTTAACACTGAATAGGTATTACCTCCAGGCTTCTGGTCTAACACGGCAGCAGTCCCAATACTCTGCTATTACTGTAATACTTTCCCATTCTTGCAGTGGAGACTGCAGTATGCTGTTATCAGACTGCACTGTTGGTGGGTTTGGTTTGAACTTTCTGAACAAGGACTGAATTAACATATTTCCAGGGAATGAATTAACAACTCTTAGATCTTTAGCTTAACTTCATATGGCACTATTAGAAAAGACAGAGGAGACTTGTTTCGTATTAAAATGTAGACCCCTTTTCAGAGCATTACACTTCACTTTTCTTGAAATCAATGGCATGATTTGCCTCCATAGACAAAGGACAACTGAGACTAAAGGAGACACAGAGAAACATACTTGTGATAAGACAAAATATCTATACAATGTATGTCGTTATCTACCTCACCATAAGCCATACCCTTTCTTTGTACTACCGACTGGATGGTTTCAATGAAAAATCTGGTTTACCTGGTGGTTGCTTGTATCAGAAACCTTCACATCCAGTGATCCTGTCAGAACAGCATACCAGTTCGTCCCAATATCACCCTGACGGAATACTGGAAAAACGAAATCTTGTAAATAAGAGCTATCTCTAAGTTTAGCAACAGTAACAAACATTTTCCCTTATATTACTGTATTACTGTAGTCACTGCTGGCACTATAGAATTTGCCGTATCCGACTACTTACTTACTATTACAATAGTACTTCCAATGACACTGGAAAGCACATATTTTAGTAAACTGGTCAATACACTACAGAAACAATGAAAGCACATAGAATTGCTTCACTCTCCTCCCCAGTTTGCTTCTCTTTTACTTCTTTCTTAATTAAACAAAACAAACAAACAACCCCCAAAAAAGACTTTCTGAACAATGTCCCTTTGAAATTCAGAATCTTCCAATGCAGACACTGACTTCAGTAAGAGTTCTGGCTGAGAAGCAACTGCAGGACTTTGATGTTCAGACATTCCAACTGCGTGATTACGGAGCATCAGAATTCCCATTGCTCTAAGCAAACCCCAGTGCTGTATGCCTAAAGCATGCCAGATTTACCTGAGGAGCACCTGAGACTCTACCAAACACCACAGGTCTCCATCAGCTATTACCCTGGTACAGCTGTGGGAACTCACACATTGCCATCACAGGACCACCCCTTATTTCCACCTCAGCTTCACAGACCAAGCACAGCTGTCCATCTTCATCTGGCACACAGGCTGCCAGAGCAGGCACAGAGCTTTTGCACTCCACAGCAGTATGCAGCTCTGCAAATCTGTCTTGTGTTAGCAAACCACATGTTATTAGTGATATGCCTAGCCTAGGTGATACCCTTGTGGCCCTGACATCACAAAGCACCTACAAAAGAGATCAATAATACATTTACAGGGGAAGAACGAGGCTTAAGTGCAATGACTTGCTTCTAATCTTTCAACAAAACAGTGGCGGAGTCCTAAATCCAATAATGTGTGCCTTGTTACCATAGATTCAATACACACTATTTGTAGAGCAAGCAGCACTTTAGTCCTGCCTTCCCCCATGACTATGACTCTAAACATTTTTATTGCTGTTCCACTGATTGTGCTCTCATCAATCTCCTAGAGACAATCCCAGCCTAACCCCCAATTTTATCTACATAAAACAGATCATCATATGAAGCTCTCTTACATGTGATTCCTTTTTCCAGATTTTCATAATATCCACAGAGACATATCTGCTGGAGAAGGTTTGGATGAAATTTCTCAAAAGCTTTCACTTCCTTCAGTCGTGTGAATATTATATCTACATCTTCAGTGGAACGTTCCAAAGGTCTGCAAGAAAACAAAGGACAAAATTCTCAAGGGCTTTATCAGAGAAACATCCCCACCTGCATGCACCAAACTTACAAATGTTAGCATGAAACATCACACTATAATATAAACCAATTAAAATGCATTACACAGGTATACAATGAAACCCTTCCAAAACATCCTAAAAACTGTCCGTTATCAACTTGAGCATGATTATTATCATTTCAACACAGGCAGTGTCCAGAAGCCCCATTTAGCACCAAAGTCCTGCTGTAGCAATTACTGTAAAAGTATGTATGACAATACAGTCCTTATTCTAAAGAGCTTAGAGTCATATGTAGTTTTAAGTTTGTAAGGGAACACAAATAAACAGATGTCCAAACATATAAGAGGTCTGTGGAATCTCTGCTCAAAATAGAAGATCTCTACCTGGCTAAAAGGAAAGCTTTAGATAGCTCCTATATCCACATCTCTCTTCTGCATTTTACTGGGTACAAACTAACTTGAGTGTTCTGTTTTCTCACTTGCAAGCAAGGAAGACAACTTTAATAAGTACATTCTCTTTCACGCAGTTCCTGTCTCTTAATGTTGGACAAATTAAATATGCAAGCAAGAATCTCAACTCTTCATTGGCAAGGGTAAAGAGTTTTAATCCAAACATTTAAAATATTTAAAATCTATGACAGTAAGATCTTTAAAAAAAACCAAGACTTCAAGAAAAATAAAATTGTAGAACTCCAACAAAGTAGCATGTGGACCAGCAGTTCAGCAGATTCAGAAGACTACTACTTTTATGAAACTGAAGTGAATTAGCTCCATAACACACATTTTAAATGCGATTATCAAACGTTATGAATCAGCAGGTAAGCCAACCACTAACTGACAGCATTAGAAAGAATCTTTCATAACAGACTAAATGCCTACCACTATGCACAGAAAGAAACACATAACATTCCTAGGAGACCATGCTGGATCAGATGCAGAAACCATTTATGTATAAAGGGGTACCAGAAAGATAGACAACTGTCTGTGATCATTAGACCTATCACTCGCCTAAGTGCTACTAGTTAATTTTACTGACAAAAATGGTTTTAGCCAGTGGATGAGCTTCTAAATTAACAGAAGTCAGGTAGCTTACAATGAACCAAGACTAAGTTCACAAATATGTACCTTTACCATCTTATTGTTACACCTAAAGTGTAAGCACTCCTTCCAGCAGGATTATTTTTAAAGATTCCTCTTTGGAATCAAAGACTTAAGAGATCCAAATCTTTGCCTCAGTGAAGAAGCCCAGATCCTACTCACATTGAATCTGTGTCTCTCATCTTTCTTATTAAATTAAGTCTAGGAGGGATTAAATCTCTATCCTCATTTATACTCCAACTCACCTTTATTAACTACAGATGATAATAATAACTCTCTGGTGTATACAGTTGCTTCTACACCACAGTGACATCCTCTTACCACTTCAAACCACAACCAACTACAACAGCTCCCTTTTGAAATACTTCAAGTAAGATTTTCACCCATTCCTTTTTTTTAACTGTGCACTAGCTGACAGGTACTAATAAGCATTAACTCTCTTGTCAAAATCCTTTTAAGAAGATTAGGAGGTGCAGCTTGCAAACAGATTTAAAATGTTTATATAAGATCCCTACCCAAACTACACTAGCACTTGGAATGCTAACTCCCTTAATCTATGGACTCTCAAAATTAATAGCAAAACCCGACAAGGAAAAAAATGGAGATCATTCTCAGAATATCTCCTTTACCTAGAAAAACTGTGTCTGAGACTGTTTCATTCATACAGCTGCTCATAGCTGACTCCATTCAAGCCCATCAGTTAATTTGCATAGAATTGACTGTAGGATCTCAGTGTTCAGTTGTTTTAATTGTTTGATGCAGTAGGGCAGGGAAAAAGCAAACAGGGTTAGCAAACAACATGCATCAGGTTCTATAACCTTAATCAACACTGTTCTCTCAGTGCTCTTTCTGAAATGCGAGTGCAGAAATCTCTTCCACTTCTGGTCCTGTCAAAAGGACAAGATTTGGGGGGATTTAATTCATAGACTGTGTAGCTTTTTTTCCCGAGAGTTGCTGAAGGTTGAAGAGACGGGGTTTCCATCTAGTTCAGAAGAAGGTGAGAGTAGGGCTCACTTCCACTGATGTGCCAAGAAGTGTCTTGTGTCAGACAGATGAACTGCAGGAAAAGCTCTTCTGACAAAACTGCTTCATGACCCCAGTAAAGTGACTCATCATGGAAGGACAAGCATTCTCACAGGTAGCTGAGCCATGCTTTTCAAAGTTTTAAACATCAGCACAGCAGTGAGAAACCAAACTCCATATTTATTGGGAAAGAAAAACTAAAGCCGTGTGTTCCTAGTGGCTTGCTTTAGCAAGCAGCTGAGCTTTGTATTGCTTTGTATTTGGCTTGCTTTAGCAAGCAGCAGTTACTTCCACCTGGAGTACATGAAGTGGGTATTTGAAGGGGAACACATGGACATGCTCTAAACAAAAAGAGGAATCCAAACTTCTAAGCAATATGTATAGTAGTAATCTGAAAATTCTTATATTCCTTACAATGTTTCTTAATAACTCATTACTGCAAGCCATTACTGCAAGCCATTAGTTTCAGTAGCCTTTCTTCAAAACATACTGGGTTTAATATTCCTGTGTGTAACTAAATTTCGACAAATATTTTTACTGGGAGGGCACACATTTTGATCCAGCACATTTGGAATGAAGCTAGAATTTGGGAGAGTCTTTCAGTGAATGATTTAACCATTAATCTATCCTAGAAAAGGTACCTTCTCCTCCAGCTGTGTTTTACCAAAAAAAAGAAAAGCAGCAGCCAGCAGGGAAACATGCAAGGAATCTTTACTGTACCCCAGAATAGCAAACTACTAATGTCTCTCAAATGAGACACACAGACAAACACCTAGTTTAAGACATAGCTGTTTGGTTAAGATCGTGAATAAACATAAAAATGAGCTAGGATCCAAGCTGTTTGACAACAAAATGCCTTTGGATTTGATCAGTGCTCCTGGGAAGTATCCTCGATGTTTAGGAGTAAGGAATTAACTAACACTAGGTGTCCCAAGCTGAGGTGATCCTAGTCCTTACTAGGACATGGAGTTTTGCCTCTGTAAAAACTCCAGATTGCAGTGTAATAGTAACAGTAGTAGCACTCAAACTCATTTCTATTAAGTGCTTATAATCTATAACAATGAGACTGGTTTCAAAAGGAAAGTTTTACTTAGTGAGAGAGCATAATGAGAATAATCAAATGCCATGGCATCAATCAATTGCTTTTCCACATGCCTGCAAAACTCAGGCAAAGTTTGACCACTTTCTACAAAGTATCTTTTAATAAAATTATCATCATTGTAACTGTTGTCATCATCATTAAATTAACATTAATGAATCTATTTACGATGCCAAATTTTGTTTTCTATTTCCTAAGTACAAGCTGCCTAGCATGGAATAACATCAGTACAGGACAACATAAATTTACTTCCTCATCGCAGCTATCTTACTAAATTGCTGTAAACTTGGCTTTTTTAAAGCATAGTTTGGAATAATATTTAAACAGCTAATATTATGATATATTCCTTAGAACATTAATGATTAAACCTATTAATTAGGAAAGTACTACTGATGGCAGATGGAGTATTATTCAAGCTTTAGTATCACTGTAGTTACACTGATAGGAGGCAGTAGTATTAATCCAGAAAGAAACCATTCCCCAAACCTGGGAGATGGGCTGCAAAAGTCAACCCCAAGGAGGTGAATCTCCTCACACCACCTACACAGCTCCAAAAGCTTCTGGAAAGGCTTTTCCAGAGACCATATCAGAGTACCTGAAGTCACTCCTCTGTTATCACCACTGCTGTTCACTAGAGAGCAATCTCACTGAGCTTAGCCCCCTCTGCTAACTTAGTGCTGGTGAGGACGTCCTTCGGTTCTGTTCTGTGACACTGATGCTGGTATGCTACTTGTGTGCCCTCACTGCTGATGCTGCAGAGTTATAACTCAATATCCATGAGCATAACAAGTTAAAAATTGCATTTCAGTGAGACTTCAATCACCACTGGATTTTCTACTAAAGCTTCTGTCCTTTTCTAAGTGCACTCCTGTGTCGGAAAGCTCTAGCCCAATGTATGGAATAGGACCATGATGAATCTAAAAGGGTGGACAACCCTCTTAAATCAATTAAAATTCTTCAGCTCTCAACAGTTTGGTAGAGCTATCAGCTAGAGTAGAAGCATTTTAAGGCAAGGCCATCCTTCTTGTATAAAATCTATGACTCTATCCAGTGAAGCACCCACTACCAAGGCTGCCTCACCCAATTTAAAATAAATTTTAAGTAAAACAAACTGTGGAGGTGTTACATTTTTCTTCATCTTTTTTGCTTAAAAAAGCAGCTTCTTACTCCTTTTTCTGAAGTTTTCAGCACCTTCGTGGGACAGCTGCTGCTTTATCTCCATTTTCCATTGTCTGCAGGGTACAAGCCCAGAAAGAGCTTTAGCAGCTGCTGTAGTAACCACACTTCACTAACTGGCCCGGCAACCATAATTGAGAAGGTATCATGCCATGACCATAGCAAATGCCAAGACAAAACCAGGTGGGAGGAATGAGTGATTTGGAAATGAGAACTTCGGCTCAGTATCTCTTACCATGAAGGATTACGCATGGGTGACACTCCTACACCCGCCCCTCCAATCTTCAATTTAATACGATTGTCCCTAAATTTGTATCTCAACAGGGTACTACGCTGACATCCCATTTCACTGTGGCCAAAGTGAGGTGGGCATTTCCAGTGTTGCAAAGCAGGGCTACAAAATGATTAGGAAATGACAAAAAGCAAGAGTATTTAATTTATTTTCACTATCCTACAAGCCCTTCTGCTTTGTTTCACCACTGAATGCTTTATCCAGCTCCTTATTTATATTACTAATTTGCCTCTTCAGAGCATAGTAAGTCTTATCTGGCAGTACTGTTTTCACAATAGACGTCATCTATCTTCTCCTGCTTCTTCAATACAACATCACAGCATACATATACAAGTGACAGCATCAATGCTAGTTACACATCTCTATTCAATTATGTCAATAAGGCTTCTTTAAAGGGTATTTTACCCCTGATTTATTTGGTTGTGAAGATTTCAGGCATGTATTTTATAGAGATAAAACAATTTTCTTGACAATGTCTGCTTGACTATCTGTAAAAGGAGATTATAAAAAAACTTGCCAGAAGTGTATCTTCAGAAGACTGTTTCATATTTTTAAGTGCAAACTATGCAAGCTCAAAGTTTAAACACACACAGAGGATAATTGCTACAATTCTTCACATACACAATTTGGGCAAGTATTTCTGTTGATGTGTAGCATATACAGCTTTATAAAAGAAACTATTTTGATGGTGTTAAGATTAAATATTTTAATGTTTATGTATGCTGTGAAAGACTTTTTAAAGTAGAAGAAAGGAACAAATTGGAGTGTTTTGTTTCATCAAGTTTATCTAACTATAACCTATTACTTTCTCTTCTACCATGTGATATGTCCTTTTTTAGGTTCTTCCTCATAATTGGTTTGACACTTGAAAAAGAAAAAACAGAAGATATGTAGTTTTACCTTCTTTGCCAAGATGCCTCTAGAATTTTAAAACGTTTATTTCTATAACATCTGTTCAAAAATCTGAACCCTACTCTAACTGAATGAAAACACTGATGTCCATTTCCTTCCCTTGCTCTTTTTTAACTCTTTAAAAGGGCAATATTGCATTTCAGACAGCAACCAACAGCCCATGAAGGATGAGCAGACATGACACATTTCTTCCACTGGCCAGGCTGTTTGTAGAAAACAGAGTGTCACATTACATAATAGACAAATGGAACTCGTTCATCTCCGGGTTAAAACTGAAGCACCTATTCAAAGATGCAAAGGCAAACTCTATGAGCTGGAAGGTGCTAGTAACCACCACCATGGACCATTTGGTAAATTTTAATAGTATTTTAAAGTATATTCTGCTTTGAAACACGAGCAGGGAGAGAACAGCAAGGAATGCCATTGAAACCAGACCATTCCTCTGTGCTACCTGCACTTTCTCCTAGCCTTTCCTGACATGCAGAGCGGCAAAGCGGTAGGATGCAGAATACTACTAGTACCATTTTCCCTTAGTGAGAGCAAGACAACACTGAAGCACCTCTCTCCTCCAGGCAATGCTGTAAGGCTCTTTGACTTTTAATTTCTCTTTGAGAAAGGGAAGTTTAAGAGGGGGATACCAGTCACCTATCAAAGCACTTTAGACATGTGGGAAGAGATTTAAGTGCTAGATATAAATGAAGTTACTTTTAATCTGAAGTAAATGTCCAGATAAGGGTTTAATAAGTAGTATTACCAAAACCATGTTTTCAACATTCACATTTCAGCTCCTATTTCCCTTGCCATGGGAAAAGCCTCATCATGAGGCTTTCAAACAATAATCAAATTACAGTTCTTTTATTTTGATTTCCATTTTATAAGTCTTTGGGATTCTGGTTTTCACATTTCCCCTGACGCACAGGAAATAAAATTTTATTTAAACCCTGTTCCCTAGGACCCTTATACATACAAATCAGTCCAGAGTTACCAAAAAAAAAAAAAAAAAGCAAGCGACACAAGTAAAACTGCTGGTGCTTAGTTTCCAACAAATTACTACTGTCACCTACACTCAGAACCCCTGTGATAATCTCTCATGTCCTGCTATGCAAGGCACAAGAAATGCTGTAGCTAATCCTGATCTATGCAGGTACTGATTGACCAGTCAGTTAAATGCAGACCGACTGGCTGTCAGCTTCAGTCAGACAGAATTTGTAATAGTTGAGTTCTGTCTTCCTCAGTGAGGCCCAAAAGAATGGAAATATGGGGGACTCTCCTTTACCTACACACTCATCTCGTTATTACATGACTCAATTGTATTTGTGCCTTCAACTCAGTTTGGTCAATGCACTGAAAAATTATTGGAGGATTAGACAGAGCAATCAATTGCGCTTCATTTCTTTACATACCCTGCTCTACAAATTATGCATCCTTCCAACAGGTCAATTTTCAGATCTGTATAAACAGTGGAATGGCAAAAGATGTATTTGTTAGGTAATGACACTCATAAACATTTATCCCAAGTTAAAAACACACAACCTGAACAATACAGCTATAATAGGAAACAAAACATAATAATTTTTTTCACCTTCATATGCTTTTTAAAAAGACAAAATAATTCAAGAGAAAAAAGAAAACTGCAAGGAGATTTTTCTCCTTTCATTTATGAAAATTTTTATGTATGGTGCATGCTTTGCAACAAAGGTGTGAATAAATCTTATTGAATAAACCCTCCAACTTTCATAAACATGAACTGGAGCTCAGGACAGTTAAAATTCCATTTGACAGAAGTAGATCTGGATGAAATTACATTAACCAGCACTGTAGCTTCATAATAGACATTAAAAGCACTTTAATATGAAGAAAGACTCTGAGATACATTGCAAATGAAATTTGTAATTGAACAATATGCACAAGTGATGATATCCTTTGATTCAAACTCTGGCCACTGTCATCCATCAATACACTACGCTAAACGCACCTTTACCCATGTAGGATCTGCATTGTTACAGCTAACGAAAATTTAAAACTTACAGCACCTATGAAATAACTTCTACAGATTTACATTGACATACATTTTGACAACCGCTGAATTCAAAGATGAAGTGGCAAGTCAGTTCAGAAAACATTCATTGAGGATACTGATAAAGCAGCAGGAGCAGCAAGTGATCGTGCCAAATATAGTGCAGAAAATACTAACAGAACAAAGGCAGTATCACAAGAATGATGAGCTTGTTAAATGCAACAAATTGTAAGATGCAGACAAAACCAGATGTCACACTGGATAAGAAAAATACTTGTATTTGACAAATATCTGGTGGCCACCTGACTTTGAGGGCGTGATTTCAATTAGCTGGTTTGTTGGGTTTTTTATTCCTTTGCTGGAATATGAGTTTTTGTTTTAAAAGAAATTTAATCTGCTCAGAATACAGCATTTTAGAGATCAAATCCTAACAACATGCCAAAAATAACTCAGGCAATGACAGTTTAGACAAGTTTCCAGTTTCATCTGGTAAAAGAGAAAACCTACAGTGGCACAAGTACCTCACCAATCACATGGCCACTTCACAAGACTGCCAACTAAATTTGAATATATCGTGTCCTAACAGGCATATGCACATACTAGTTTGCTCTGGTGAGCCATGACAATGTTTATACTCATGAATGCCAGGGCAATCACTTTTTGTCCCTCTTAATACCTGTCGATAGAGCAAGTATGTAACTTACTGCAACCACATGTAACAAATGGAAGTTGATACTAGGACTGCCTAAGCCCATGAGCAGAGAACAAACCAGCGTGAATTTGTTTAAAATACAACTCTTGCTCTCACTATGACTTATTTTGAATTCATATATTCAATCAAATGCACAGACGTACAAGCTTATGGCAAGCTATATTAACAATTATTTTGGTCTCTCTGAGGAGATACGGAAAGAAAAGGGGCTTTTTTATTATTCATCAAAGACTGCACCTTTGCACTGGACTAGAAAATGAGTTGCATGATGCAGAAAGATAAATTTGTTATTATTCATCACTCTCAGAAGATTGCACCTTTCCGTGAGTGCTAGAAAGCACTTAGGCTATGTCCATACTGCTCTGTCTCTGAGTTTCCACACTGCGATGCCTGCCGCTGATACATCCCCACACAGACTTGATCCAAGCATACACCAGCCTAGCCACATACTACATAGAGAGAGAAAACACCAAGCACACAGGCCAACAGGAGCTGCAGTGTAGGTCCGTGATTTTGTTCAGACCCAAACTATGTGAAAAATGGTACTGTTATTTCAATGGATTTGTTACAAATAAAAAGCAAGGGTAGAAATTTAAAATATATAGAAGTCAGTGTATGTTTTACCAATCACATAAAAATATTTTTTAAAAGTAAATAAAATAGCATCATAAAGCTATTCTACAATACTCACAATATTGCCTGATTATAAATCTATATCCCATTACCTTTGACATAATTACAGGTTATAGAGGATGACAAGCATTTTCCATATTTCTTTTACAATTCTTTCAGAATATCAGTTCTTCATTCTAGCCTATCTGCATACTCACAAGAGACCTGTTGACTACTAAACATATACAAATAACTTACATCCCAAATATATGTTACAATGAACTAAAAAACAAATCCTAACTCAAATATGTTGCTGTTACATAACTTCAGTCTGAATTTACACTCAAATCTACGGGAGCTTGGCTTAAGGTACAGATCTGAGATATCATTCTTAACGTGTTACTTCGGTTTTGTTAGATGTAAATGATGCAAGTCAAAAGTCTAACAAGGATGACAAGGATATAAAAGCTCAGTATGTACAATACGTCCTCTAAACGCCCATTCATATTTAAATAATTTATAAATAGCTGAACAAAGATCGTAACATTCTTAGCACAACAGGCTAGCAAAGTTACATACTTGCTCTATGATCTGCTCCTCCAGTCTGCTAAGGCACTGAAGGTTATATTTAATACAGAGAAAAAAACACAAGATGCCATAGGCCGGTATGAAATCCTGCAATCTCTGTTGTGAATGCTGTACATCATTAAAAAGTTTGTATCTGAATCCAATTAAAACATTTATCTGAATTCATAACTGTGATCAGGTTTAGATGTAAAGAACACTGTCTACCAGACAGTAAAGATATGTCAACATGGAAATTTCCTGTCCAGTTAGCCTTTGGTGTGAAAGAAACCACGAGAGTAGAGAAGACATTGTTCTTAAGCTAATTATACACACTTGCATAAATCAGCAACCTTCTTTTAATTATGTCCAGATAGGACACATAGAAAAATGCTAAGATGGCAGGCATGCTTCAGCTCCCTAGGAAATCAGTGGTAAGGCAACTATTTACTTCAAAGATAAAAAGAC